TTTTTCCCCCCCCCCATATACCTGGGGGTTTTTTTTTTTTTTTTTTTTTTTTGGTTGATGTAACCTGTGAAGCAAGTTGTAGCAAGTTATATCTTTCCATCAGATTCTGGATCTTTAATGATTCTATTTCTATTATAAGTTGCTTTCCTTTAAATGCCATAGAAGTTCTTTTTAATCTTATTTTTTCTATGCATTAACAAGGTGTATATTCGATATTTAAGGGTTCAGGAATGGCAATTTTTTTTTAATCATCAAACATACTTTTTTCTCTATCTTGGATCTTTCAAGTGTAAAGTAAACATCCTTTGTTCATGAAAATTTAATATTTTAGAGCCAAGCATTTTGAAATTTCTTTTATTGTCACTAAGTAACTTTGTATCACAAAAGCTGATTCAAAAATATTTTTACATTATTAACAGAGTCAAATAAAGGATTTATTTTTCTGTAATACAATGGTCAAAATACTAGCAATCTGTTAATATAGACAGTGGGCACTACTTACCAAAGCATTAAAGAGATATGAGCAATTTCTATTTTTCAACTTTCAGTTAAGATGCAAAATATTATCATTCTTTTAATAAACAACAATAAAAATAATTACTTATTAGAATTTAACATATAATCTTAGTTATATGTACTTTTCAGGGTATCCTTGATAAAAGTTGAATTAATTTTCATGTATCCATATGGTGCTAGCAGGCAGTTTGTACCATTTTACCTGAATGTGGTAATTACTATGTCAGACAATTTTAATAGCAATGATATTGCAGTGTGAAGAGTTCATCTAGAGCTTAAAACTATCACCAGTACTGCTTTTCTAAAGGATAATTGAGATTTCATGTGAGACACTGAATGAATTACTTCTTTCACATGAAAAGAATAATGAAGATAAAGCACTAATGTTCAATGTTTAGTCCATACCAAGCACATTTTTGAAACTGAAACTAAAAAACATTTTAGCTATCAAATTGTTTGGAGAGCTTAGAGCAAACCCGAAAGTCAAACTATGTGTCCTTATAACATTGAGAAGCTTTATTATTATTTTAAAGTTTAGAGTTCTCAATCCGTTTCTCAATTAAATGTTGAATTCTTAAAAATATGTTAATCACTACATAATTGTATACCAGTGGAAGTAAATACAAAAGGAGGATTTTATTTTAACTCTTCTAGTCAGTTTACAGGTATGATTTGCCACAATTTATGTGGTAGATACTAATGCAATATAAATTTCTTGTACTTCAGGGATAAATCGGAAGTCGTCATACATTCAGCAGATGCATTTGCACCTGTGGCTTATCTACGCTTTTTAGAATTGCACTTGGAAGACAAGGCAAGTAAACCTAAGATTCACAGTGATTTCAATAGATAGTATGCATTGAGTCTCTATGTGTAATTCTAAAACAACAGATGACAAAGAAAATCAAATTTATTATTAGTGATCTTTTTTTAACTTCTCAATTAATATCTAAGAATATCATAAATGTTTATAGTTTTGAGAACTCCATGTGGTACACTGAGTAAATATGGTGTATTTTCCTTCTTCTTTTTTTTTTAGGTATCCCCAGTGCCTGAAAATCACAGGACATCTAATTATATACATAATTCTTGAAAAGCATTTTTGAACATTGTTCGCTAAGCTATGACTTCTGTAAAATAAAATAATTGCATGGCATCATCTCTATTATAATAACCAGCTTTTTCTCATACCCTTTTTCTTAATTGATTTCTTAGAAGAATATACCTTTGCAAAAGAAGTTAACAGAATCATTGGTTCATTGAGGAAATGTCAATGGCTTATTCATTGACTTTACTAACTTCCTCAGGATTCGCTCTTTGTCTTTTGTTTATACATCCTCCCTTTTACCTCTATATAATATGTGTCTTTTGTTTTCCCTTTTACATTTACAAGCCTCATTTCTATAACATTACTTTCACAATACTGGTCTATTTTCTTTCTCATGTTCTTGTTCTCATATCTGCCAATAATATCATCATGCTGCAGAGGCATTTGAAAACAAAGAAAGAAAGTGATCTGTTCATTTAGCCAATCAAGATAATTCTCCTGTCACCAAAGTGCTGTATCATTTTCTGTTTGGAGTATATTCATGGTTCAAGTGTTACAACATAGCCCAACCTCTGTGGCTCAGTTGGTAGCATACTGAACAACAGTGGTAGAAACCACATGGCCTACTGTGGGTTTGGATATGCAGCCCTGTCAGCCTGAAACACACCAAGCATGCATGTGTTCACCCAAGATCCTGAAAGCCGGAGGGCTGCAGTAAGGCGATCGTAGCCTGATCAGACCCTGTTGAGGGTATCCCATTTTCTTTCTCTCTCTAACCAGTCTGTACACTCTCTATCATAAATAAAATAAATAGTAAACTTAAGTAAATTAAAAGTATTCCAGTAATATTGAACAATTAGGAAAAATATTATTAACTTTTGCTGGTTACTTTATAACTGATTTTTAAAAAATGCAATTTTTCAGTATTACCTGTACTGACCTTAGACAAATTAAATATATATATGTGTTTATATACATAAATATATACATAAATATATACATATTTATATATAA